CTTATCTTGACTCGGTGTGGTTCTACATCAATATCCTCATTAAGATGCCTTAAACTAGGCCTAAGAATGCCTAGAATAGAATGAGGATGCAAAAATGCACTTAAAAACATTTTCAGAATTTTAAGAAAACAGAGGTTCCGCTCGAGCGTGGCTTTACCCGCTCGGGCGTACAGGCAAACACAAAACTCCGCTCGAGCGTGAGTTAACCCGCTCGAGCGGACTGTAAAACATGCTCATCCGTTTGGGAAGTGGGTTGGCTTTTTGGCTTTTTGGCTTTTTTGACTTTTTTGTGAGAGAAGAGTGTAATGATTATGGGTTGGATGTGATGTTTTGTTTTTTGTGGCTAAAATAGCCTATTTTGTCTTTTATGGCTAAAATAGCCAAAAAAGCCCTAACTTTTGCTTCCCAAACAAAGCCTTAATTTTTTACAAAAATATTGCATTTGACGGACTCTAAAAATTGAACGTTCGAATTATCGAGATAGGATCATTGAAAACACAACCGTGACTGTTGTACTAAAAAATAACAATCACCTAACATCCTATATATACCGATATTTATAATGTATATTATTTATGGTATATACACATTTATCAATGTGAGACGATTTCACACATTAGATTTTGCACTTGAATGTCTGCACTGAATTATTCTTTCACAACAATGAAAAGTGAATCATTTTATGGGTTTGATTTGCTGTAAATCATAAAATTTGTATATCTACATTGAATTGGATGTTGATTCGAATAATTGGAACGATGTACCATGTAAACATTCATAATAGATATCATGTACACCTTCGATTTGGATCTTAAAATATTTTGTGGTTTTTGAATGTAAATATCAACATTAAATCTGGATGCCCTATATCTACATTGAATCAGATGTTTGAAACATAATGTTGATGTTTGGTGTTCAAGGTTTGCTTTCTTTGTGGCTTTTGTGTTGGCTTATTTTTGTTTTTTAATGAATTTTTTAAAAATATTTTGAATAAAATTTTAAATTTTAAAATTCTATTCAACGAGATGAAATGAAATGTAACATACTTTCCTTCTAAAATCATGCAGCAGATTGGTTTTTAATTACACTGCCAAAACAGGTGATACGGTTTGAATGGGTTGTATTTGGTCTCTTTTCTCTAATGGAGAGAGAGACATTCTCAATATGGGATTTGTGGGTAAAAAAGCACATAAAATTATATAATTATAACTAATCAAATTATTCTAATACTTTCCAAAACTAACATTCAGCAGATAAACCAATTAAATGAAGAAAGGGTATTGCCATGAGTGTAACGCCCCGAAATATTTCAACATGAACTACCCGTACTAATGATTTTTCACTAATCAATGACAATAATCCCTCCAACATCACATATATAATAAATGGATTAAATACAAAAGTTTCACTTGTGATTCACATTCACAACATAACAAATACATTATTCTATAACATGTGAAGCATCAAATCTCAATAACAAATAAAATGCCCTTAAGGGCTTACATCTTCCAAGGCAATAGCCTGGTTACAAAAAATGGTTTCTCGGACCCATACACATTAGCCCTTGGCTTTACAAAAAGATCACAACAAAATAAGAGCAATGTACTCTTTACAATTATCCGCGCCCTCAACTCGGCGGGATCACCATGTCCTTACCTGCACCAAAGTCCCATAGGGGTGAGCATAAAGCCCAGTAGAGAATTCTAACAAAGTATATACCGTTATGCCATTCTCAATAAAGATGAAAATGATGATGCCATGCCATGCTCGTTTAAAGAAATTTCATTTTCATGCTTTTCTTAAAGATTTCCGTTTTTCAATAAAAGCCTGCAATTTTCAACACATTTCAAACATTCAGTTTTAATCAATAGGAGCGGTAAATACGACACTGGTAATCCCTAGGCTGGTGTCTGCAAGTAGACTCTGCAAGTACTACCAAACTGTTATTTTTACTGGGATTAACCGGAAGGCTCGACACCTATCCGCGCAACTTTCTAGTCTTTCACCAAGGACACTCAAGCCAACTTAACAAAATTCATCTACACCCCCTAACCGAACTTATCACCGTATTTATCCCTTTTCACATTCCCATAATTCATATCACAACTTTATTTTCTTTCATGAAATAGATATCTTCAATCAAAATTTACAATGCACAAATAATAACTGAATGCATATGCAATGCAATGATTTTCCACAACTCAAAACATTTCTCCATTCAAGTACATGACAACAATATTGAATAAATACATTTCTCATTTTCTTTCTTCAATGTTATTTCACAAAATAATATATATACCTTCAACTCATAGCAATTCCCGCAATCCATGGTACATACCAATTTCCCATTCCTCAATCATGCATACTCATGTATTATATAATAACTTCATAAATAATTTCTCATTTTCCTGCTTTAGAAACTCAATGTGGCATATTGTGGGTTTTCTTTCTGTGCCATGTTATCTGCTTTTTACTCTCAGCTCACTGTTTTATTGGTTAAATTTTCTCTGACTTATGATATTTGTCTTCTTATTGATGGTTATTTTGCTGTGGTTTATGTTTTGGTTGTGAATACTTCTTCTGTTTACGCTAAATTGCTTTGGCTATTTTCTCACTTGATTTATGTGTGGTTGTAATTTATATAACTCAGTATAATCATTGGACTTGAAATTTTTTTTAATTAAAAAATATATATATTTTTCTATATAAAATTTGTCCTATTCACCTAACTTTAATTAACTCGGCATAGTCAGACATGGTCAAGAGTTGGATTGCATTAGGTAGCATAGTTGATAGAAGGATAAGTCAGGCATATAATGATGGGGTAATATCATTTCTTCGTTTTGCAATGGCGATTATCGATCGAGATGGTAAAATTTTGTGCCCTTGTCGAAAGTGTGTGAATGTTGTTCGTCAAAATTTTCAAATTGTTCAAATTCATTTGTTGCAACATGGGATTATTCCAACTTACACTATCTGGCACATGCATAGGGAACCTCGTGTATCAAATGAGGCTTATCATCATGATATACTCGTTGAGGGCAATGAGGTTTTGGGAGGTATTGATGCCTTAGTGAAAGATCGAATAAGAGGGGAATCAACTAATACAACTCAAGAGGAGGAGGTTCGCACTTTTGATAAATTATTGAATGATGCCAAACATGAGGTGTACCTAGGTTGCACAAATTACACTTTGTTAAAATTTGTCATCGAGATACTTAATATAAAGGTAACAAACCATTGGAGTAATAAGTCAGTTGACATGATGCTAGAGTTTTTAACAAAACATTTACCGAAGGATAATTTGGTTCCAAAGTCAACTTATGAAGCTAAAAAAATACTGCGTGAATTGGGTTTGTCATACGAGCTCATTGATGCTTGTGTAAACAATTGTGTGCTCTTTTGGAAGGGGAATGCAACACTAGATAAATGTCCAAATTGTAAGGCTTCTAGAAACAAGACAAATCATGGTAGAGGTAAGAAGATATCTCGTAAGGTTCTTCGATACTTCCCGTTAACACCGAGATTGAAAAGGTTGTACATGTCAAGGAAGAGAGCTGAGGATATGAAATGGTTCAAGGAAAAACGTCTAGATGACGGTGTATTGAGGCATCCTGCAGATAGTGATGAGTGGAAGGAATTCGATACACAATATCCTGAATTTGCCTTGAAGCCTCGGAATGTGAGGCTAGGGTTGGCTACTAACGGTTTTAACCCTTTCGGAAATATGAATAACTCATATAGTTTGTGGTCTATCGTACTCATTCCGTACAACTTGCCACTGTGGTTGGCTATGAAGGACCCATTTTTCATGCTGTCATTACTTATTCCTGGTGAATCATAACCAGGAATTGATATTGATGTCTACATGAGACCTTTAGTGGAAGAATTGAATGAATTATGGAAAAATGGTACATTAACCTATGATGCCTTGACTGGTGAGACTTTTTGCATGCGTGTAGCTTTGCTGTGGACGATACATGATTGGCCCGCATTTGGTGACACTTCCAGATGGAGAACAAAGGGTCATTACTCTTGTTACACTTGCAATGATGAAATCTTTAAGAAGTAAGACTGCGTACAGTAACCGTCGATGCTACTTGCCTGATGACCACCCAGAAAGGCGAAAGAGTAGAGCATATAATGGCAAGCATGAAAAAAGGAAGAGATCTTTGGTGATACCGATAGAAAAGATTGAAGAACAATTGGGCAGCGTGACGGGTGTCACATATGGAAAACAGCCAAGCAACAAGAAAAGACCTCGTCAGAACCCAAATTCGACAAAGGTAAGCATCTTGTATGAGCTACCGTATTAGAAGAAAATGAGGCTTCGACACAACATTGATGTCATGCATGTGGAGAAGAACTTTAGTGAAAATGTTTTTGGAACGATGTTGGGAATTGATGGGAAGAACAAGGATACAGATAAGGCACGAATGGATTTAGAAGATATGAATATAAGAAAAGAATTGTGGCTGACAACAAATCCCGATGGATCATATGTGAAGCCGCAAGCCAGTTTCTCATTGACCCCTAAAGAGAGAGAGGGTTTCTTTGATTTCTTGAAATCAGTCAAGTATCCAGATGGGTACGTAGCAAACATTTCGAGATCAGTGAATGCAAAAAATGGTAAATTAATAGGATTAAAAAGCCACAACTACCATGTACTTATACAACGGATTCTTCCAATTGGGATGCGTGGTTATGTAGATAAAGAGATTAGTACAGCAATTTTTGAGTTAGGTAGGTTCTTCCAAGATCTATGCTCAAGGACACTAGAACGAAGTGAAATGGAGAAATTAGAGGAGCGTATAGTACTCATACTATGTAAGTTTGAAAAGATCTTTCCTCCAGCCTTCTTCGATGTGATGGTTCATTTGGCCATTCACTTGCCACGTGAGACTATTCTTAGAGGACTTGTGCAATATCGGTGGATGTACCCAATTGAAAGGTAATTTCTAAAATTGTACTTTCAAATGAAAGGTATAGATTATGTTGTATGCCTAACCATTCTCCTAATTGGTTATCTCTTCAAGGTTTCTCGGAGCTTTGAAAAAGTTTGTCACCAATCGAGCTCGACTAGAAGGTTCTATTGCAGAGTCTTACATTGTCAAGGAATGCATTACTTTTTGCTCAATGTATCTTGAAAGGATTGAAACCGTGCATAATCGAGATGCACGAAATGAAGATTATGGAGTTCGTCGTGAAGGTTTGATAATATTCACCGAAACTGTTCGTCCTATTGGCCAAATCAGAAGCATGTTGAGATGTCACAGGAACTTCGTGATATTGCTCATTGGTTCTTATTATACAATAGCCCTGAGATAGAGAAGTATCCTCAGTACGTGTTTCTTATAATTATATGTATTTTAACAACTTTCATGTTATTAGTTATTAATAATAGTAACATTTCACACATTAACCAAAACTATTTGAGTAGGGAACACAAGAATTTGTTACAAATTCCCACTGGACAAGATATAACTTAGATACAACAGAAGGAATTTTTGAAGTGGTTCAAAGAATATGTAAGTCACTTTTAATATTCACAATTGCCCAAACACTATTAGGCTTGTATAAAATACAAACATTACTAACATAATTCAAGTGTTGCACATTGCATGTGGATGTAGATAAATAGATTGAGAGTTGATGAGGCACCAGAAGCAACCGAAGAATTGTGGTCATTAGCGAATGGTCCTAATTTGCTATTAAAAGAGTACTCGGGTTGTATAATCAATGGTGTAAGATTCCATACGAAGGAATTAGACAATCGTCGTAAGAGTCAAAACAGTGGTGTGCTTACCGAAGGGGACTACAAGGGAGAGATGCACGAATTCTACGGTCACTTGTGCAATATTTGGAAATTTGAGTACATGTGTCAAAATAAAGTTGTTTTGTTTCAATGTGAATGGTACAACACCGGTAACACTGGTAGAAGTACACATATTGCACAAGCATCGATGTCACAAGCCGATGGTATCAATCTGACCCTTTTATCTTGCCTAGTCAAGCTATGCTAGTGTTCTACCTGAATGACACCAAATGGGGGCAACCTTGGCAAGTCGTGCAACGGATCCAATATAGAGGTGTGTTTGATGTACCAGAGGTTGGTGATGGAGAACCACCAGATCAACCAGAATTTAATGATGCATTCCAACAAGAAAACATTAACTCAGTTGTCCCAATCAACATTGAAGATATTATTCGATTTCATAGGGATGATATTGAAGCTGAGGTTATTCCAAATAAAACAAAGAGAGATGGTAGAGATAACGAAGAAGATGAAGAACTTGGCATACTTGATGATGATATGGATTATGATATGTAGTTTTTGTTTTTTTTAGGTTTCTGTATGGACATATGTTTTTAATGCATTACATGGTTATGCTATATTTTGTTGCGTCTCTTCAAGTAAAATTATGCTTTATATTTTATGTTTTATTTCAATTTATGCTTTTTAGTTACCAAAATAGCCAAAGGGGAGAAACAATGGATCAAACCAGGTTTTCTAGCGAAACAGAAGTGAACAGAGTACGAAATGGAAAGATATAATACAATCAAGAAGAATAATAAGAAAATGGATGCTCTACAATTGAAGCGTATAGCAGCTTCTTTGATGGGTTCTACTCAGCCCAATCGTGTTAATCAGAAGGGAAAGAACATTAAGGTAGATGATGATGACTACATACCATCAAATCATGAGGATGACACTGATGCTGAGTCCTTTGAAAGTGTTGACGATGAGGTACTATATGTATGGCCATTCATTTTTTTTATTATGTCACCGATAACTATATATTTGTTAATGATGCTTTGTTAATACTATCTTTATATTTCCATATACTTTATTGGATGAATAAGTCATAAAATAAAACTAAAAAATATACATCCTACATACAACAATATGCATACCAAAACAAAGCTAAAGGAAAACAAAACCTCCTGCACAAGCCGTAGGAGTAAGTTAGCTGGAACACAAATGTATAACGAAATAAGACATAATTTGACCATGTTGGAAACACCAATACTAGGATTAGTGCATGTGTGCAGCTTGGCCCTCATAATTTCAGTAAAACACATGCCAAACACATTTGGGCCCTTTGGGGAATCACGTTTGAAACACTTAAAAACACATTTGGGCCCAAAAGCAATTATGTGTTGGAGTTTGGCAATACATAATTGCATTTGCTAAACATGTCCCAATGCAGAAACCCATGCCAAATGTTATTATCCATGTTTGGAATCTCTGCCAATTATGCCTCTCATTTTTAGTTTTAAAAAAAATGGAAAACAAATAGACATGTGTATGCAGCTACGAAGACTTGACCTTCAACAACTCTGTCGGATCAAGCCTCAACATCCATTATCGACTTAAATATTTTCAAACTGTACAATATATTTATATAATCCATCCATACAAATGAAACATTTTTTTGCTTTGTTTTATTTTTTATATTCTGATATACTTCCATGAATCAAATAAATGTTAAAATAAACACAAGCAAAACTATATATATATCTATGTGCGAGGCATATGCCTATCTAGTCATTTTTACACATTTAAAAGCACAAAAAATACGTATTTTATAGTAGATTCTTATTTGGTTGAAATTTTTATGTATCTAATATATAATCAAATATTATATCGCTATAAAATAGGTAAATGACTTGGCATTCCATAAAACAAATGGTCAGATAGTCACTCTTGACAACTACTAAGACTTCTGAACATGGCATCCAAAGAAAACCAATTATGCATAAGCAAAAGCTATCTCAAAGGGGCCCATAAACAATCTTCTTTTCCCAATTTTATTTGACAGATTAATATAAATATTTAAAAACCCAATATTTGAGATGGTTAAACAAAAAATAATAATAAAGTCGGCAAAGTACCTGTACTGGATTTAGACTAGAAAATGGACATTGTAGCTGCTCTGGAGGACTCTCTGAGGATCAAGCTGCCCACTGCAATAACTGGAAGGAACAACAGAGAGTTCCTGCCTTTCTCTCCACTCCTCACCAGGCTTGAGTGTTATTGCTTTTTCCACCGCATCAGTCTCCATGCACAGCATGTGCTTATATTCGTCATCTCCGAAATCAACCATGGCTTTCTCCATGCACAACACCCTTTACCTGACCGTTTTAAAAATATTGAAAGCAACCACTTGTCAGGACCAGTCTTGGGAAGAAAATGAGTGGACTGGATCAAATTACAAATATCAACAGTGGCCTTGATGAGTTTCCATATACATATCTTTACTTATCCATTTTTATGTATGTATTGCTTATGCTTTTGTATTATGTTTTTTAGGGCTTACCAATGCCACCAAAACGATTGGCGCAGCCATCTCTTCAACCTTCGCACGAGGCAATTGTTGTTCCAAATGGGGATTTACATGACAATGTGGATACCCAACACTCACAGCCACTTGATGTTGATATGGAGGCACCGAGGGAGGCAGCCCCCCAATCTAGTGTTGGTAAGATACTGAATTTTACTAAGCTAAAGAAATTCTCTGTTTTTAATGTAATTCTATGGTGCAAAAAATTTCAAGCAATTTGTTTCATAGGGTTTTTTTTTTTTTTGTGCTATAAAAAGTGCTACGGTATACCCTAGTTTAACTCTTGTAAGTTTTGTTTTGTTCATACATACATACATGTTACCTTCTGTCAAAATGTCTACTTATTCACTTGTGTTACAGTTCATGATTAACAATTATTTAATTTTTTTAAACTGTCAAGACTGTTCAATTTTAAACTAAAATATCATTTCTAGGTTCTTATATAGTAGCTTCTCTGTTCTTCTCTGTTACTACGACTTTCTTCCATACTCTTTGTTTGTCTTCAGCATAAGGCCAAAAAATTATGCAATTTGTAGGTAAAGGCCAGTGGTGATGAAGTGTTTTTTTATTTTTATTTTTTAAAAGGATTTTCTTTGTTTGGTAGCTGACAAAATGTGAGAAAGAGGGGAAATAGAAAATAAAATAAAATGTTGTCCTTTTGTGCCATCATGCTACTGCGGTTTCTAAGAGAGTGAAAACCTTTCCAATAGTTTCCATTGTGCTTAATTGGGTGAAAATATATGTCTTCCTCTGTCTATGAAGTTGTGGAATTAGTTATTGAAGAATCTGAGGACCAAAATTTTGATTCCATTTCTTTACTCATACTGAATTTTTTTAAAGAGAAATTGTTAGGCTTTTTACGTGAATTGCTTGTTGGGTTGCTTCGTTTCTGATGAGGATTTACCGGGTGGTAATGACTTAATGCACTTGGGGATTTTGCTAACTGAAGAACTGGACCTCGAAATTTTCCG